TTCATACAAAAAAGATATTGTTGTTCTTTTGACAAACTGAGTACAGTTTAATTTCTTGGATATCAAATTGTTTCACAATTCTCACCAGGATCAAGAATATTTAACACAGCTTTGGCAACACTGACATCATTCTAAACACTAGGAGTTTTTTCGATGTCGCTCTCGGTACTCTTCTGCTCATATTTCTAGTGGAACCTACCCCATGGAATCCAAGACACGTTGTGCTCATTTAACATGCGATAAAGGAATTGCCATTTTTGCATGAGAACGCTGTCAACAAAAGTTTTATCGAAAACATTCGAACGAACATCGAGAAGAATTCGCAAAGCGACTGGACACAATCGTTTTCGAGCACGATCTTATTCAGCAGCAGCTACAAGACACATCGGACGCAACGACAAAACAGCTTCTCTTCACACAAATGGAGAAGTGGGAAACAGAATCGGTGAACAAAATAAAACAAGCGTCTAATGATGCGCGGAATCAGCTTTAACAACTGTTAAGTGAAAGTACTCGTGAAACAATGAAAGCCTTTGGACGAATAACTGCTGATTTGAGATCTAGACGCACTACTGAAGATTATGTTGAACCGAATCTCAATCAATGGATAAAAGAGCGGAACAAAATCAGAGATGAAATAAACCAACCAAAAAAACATTAATATTTCTGAAGATTCATCTGTTTCAGTGAAGCTGATTCGAGTTATGTCACATCAGGCACATGTCAAGGACTATCCGAATACAAGAGAAAGCTTTGGTGAAGGTTTTGGCGTCATGAACGTAAGCGAGAGTGGTCTGTTAGCTGTTGCAAAGTCAGTAGGTGATATAAGTGCTTATGGTAGTAGTTTGTATTCAAGCGGTATTCATCAAATTTCGATCGAAATTGTGAAAGTTCGTCACTGGACATTCTTTGGTATTATATCCTCTTCAGATCAAAGATGGAAAAGTGCTCCCTCCCTACCGTCTGCTTATGGATGGTGTGGAGGGAACAAAGAATGTGCTTTCGTTCTTCTGAATCGTGCTCCCAATAAAGGTTATGGTGGTTTTGATGGTGATATCATTGATAATGACAGGCTAGAGCTAACAGTGAACTGCAATGAGAAAAAGATTCAGTTACTCAACAATCGTACAAAGAAAAGGTCTAGATACCAATCGATGTCAAGAGATGCTCACTGCCATGGGCATTTGCGGTTGATCTTGGATATCCTGGTAACAGCGTACGTATATTATAAAGAAGAGGTGAAAATGATTTTTTGAAAACAGTATTTGATTTTCTCTAAAATAAAATAAATTTCTGGGCAGTCGTAATGATCCGGTGGTATCGAATAGTCGTGTTTCAGAATAAATATTCTCTGATGTGAACTTCTCGATAGAAGGTTTCGCCAAAAGCGATCCGTCTGAGTTCTTCAGATCCGAACCGATGAATTTATTGGTCATATCGTTTGCTCCATCGAGCATCTTGCCTCTATTATCGATAATTATTTTAATTATCATACATGGATTCCATAAATCAATCATCTGCTGAAAAGTATTTCCAATTAGCCATGTCCAAAGTATTTACAGATGTCGCGTTTCTTGCTGAGCTCATCATCGGATCAACTCGACTTTTTGGCAGACTCAAGTGGAAATTCTGATACCCTCCACAATGTGAACAACGTTAAAATTTTTTTCCACGTATGTACACGGCAAAATAGTCTTGTTTTTAGAATTCTACGTGCGAAGACGTGTGGAAGATAATTTTATATACGCGAACAGGCTTGAATGGGAAAAGGTTTGATGCATTCACATGTGAAATACTTGTTCGTCTCGTCAACGAGCGTGGAAGATAACTTTGCAGACGGAAACACGCGTGAGGTATTACCATTTGACGTTATCCCGAGTGTAATAACTTTTTTATACGTGTTAATGGCACAAATCACTACTTTTTCAATCTTTTAACAAACACGGGCGACATACTTTCTTTCACGTGCGAAAATAAAGTAAATTCATGTAATGCGCATGAGTGCGATATGTCATGTTGGCAAGTCTTTCGATTCCGGGAAACCAGCTTTTAATTTGTCGTTCATCGATACCGTCAAAAGCGGTGCCCGCTCTAGAAAGAAGCAGATTCCTAAGAGGAACAAGCTGTCACAAAAGGTTACCTATTCCGCTTCGTTTTATCAGTAACGTTCGTTTTGGATCTAATGGGGAGCGGAGAGGCATAAGGTACAATTTCTGGAAAGCTTCTAAGATAGGCATGTCGGTCTAAGTACGAAATTCATCACAAATACCATGCATTTTTGAAAAATTAAACCTAAAGTTTTACTTTTTTTGTCGAGTTTCATTCATTTTTGTCCACTTGCAGACATCGGTATTTTGATATTATTTCACCCAAGGATGATTTTTAAAATCCAGGAGCAACATTTTTCTAACCAACTCGATGAGCTCTATATAATCATGGCAAAACAGCAGACAACAAAAGCCTAGTCTTCTTTTCAATTCCCCGCAGCTTATACACTTTTATTTGTTAGGAAATCATCTGACAGCATCAGTATAAACTAGAGAAGTAGCACATAAGAGTATATCGCATACACATATCCTTTTTTTTTTCTTTCTTCTCTATCGACGCACCGTATAAATATTCTGAAAACTAGCTGAGCATAATGTGTAACTTGTGTACTCGACGTTAAGTAAAAAAGGTAAGTACTCTCGACTGAATGCGATATTAATTGATCAAGTTGACGAATTATGCACTAAATTCACAGTGAGAGAGAAAAAGTTAGAAAACTAAATTCAGACCGAAATAGAAAATTTATTGTTTTTCCTTTCGTTCATTAAAATGTTCTTACATCTTTTACAACTACCACAAGTAAGTTAATAAAAACGACGGAATTGAGACAGAAGAAAAAATGAAGCGGTATGTTTGAACTTCTAAGTCGAGCTATGACGTTAGAAAAAACAGAATATCGTAAGGCGAAAGAAACAGAAAGAAAGAAAGGAAACTATCGAGCTTATAATGCCAAAATTTAAATAGAACGTTTCACATATAACGATACATGAACTCTGCTCACAAGGGAAGCTCTCGAGGTGATTAAAAGCTTTTCGATTCAGACTATTTTCATCATGTAGGGAATAGTCAGCAATGAAAAAACCCATGTTAGTTTGGGCCCTTGCGCCTTTTTGACGGAGATATGAGTTAATTAATGAAAATGCCATTAATAATAGCTAATGAAGATAATAGCTTAATAATTAATTAATAGCTCACGACCATGATCAGCCAGGAGTCGGAAATTTTCACCATAGTTGAAGATAGGTATTGTCTACTCACTGCGAAACTTTTAGGCTTATCAACCAAAGCTTTCGCAAGATATGAATTTTTTATGATTTAGACAGTTTTTAGTGAAAATTCACCATTGAAAACCTAAAAACT